TTTTTTTTTTTTTTTTTTTGAATTTTTAATCCTGCCTTTATTATTTTTTATAAATAACTCAAGGCAGTGAACATATCTAATACTCCTTCCTCCTCCTATTTTCCCCACAACAGCCCTGCGAGGTGACTTGGGCTGAGAGAGAGTGTGACTGCCCCAAAGTCACTCAGCCGACTTTCATGCCGAAGGCAGGACTAGAACTCACAATCTCCTGCTTTCTAGCCTGGTGCCTTAACCGCTAGGCCAAACCAGCTCTCCAACAATGGGAGGCAAATGGGGAGGCTCAGCCTCTAACTCTGCACCTCACCTCCTGGCTGTGAACCTCTCAAAAGGGCACAGCCAACACAGCAGTCCTGAATTACCAGCTATGAGTCACGGCTGTTACAGCTGCCAAAGGATTCATTACTGCTCCTTCTGAGCTAGATGGCCCAGAAGAGACCAAAGTTTCTTTTTTTTGTTTTGTTTTTTTACAGTATAGCTATAGGATATTAGATTCTTGTATCATTTTTTTTCCTGGGGGCAAGTAGTTATAAAAGATACATCAAGAAGAGGTTTGTACAACTTTGTAAATATGGGTATTTTGTGTACTCTAGATAGAATATGCCAGAAAGAATATGACTAATGCTAATCTGAAACTTCAAGATGCCCAGCAGAAGTTATATAACTCCTGGACAGAATGGAAGAAAAGCATTAGCCAAAATGGTGAGGCTACTTCACACAGTGCTGAGGTAGGTGGAAAGAAATACACGCTGAAGACATGTCAACAAATATTAATTCCACTTAAAAGTGGCATCTTCATGATTTATATTCTCTTATCAAGTTTTTCATTGTGTAACACAGGCAGCAGTATTAACAATTAAACCAGAAACATATTGGTCAGGAGCTGACATCAAATATATGCATTAAATCCCAGGCATGCCTCTCTAAGTTGCATAGGTCTGTTAGTTCTTTGTCATAATATTTAGTCTAACTGTACATTTGCAGAACTACTTAGAGAAGTTGATGAAGAAATTAATAATATAAGTAGACCAGAGCACAAGAGGAAAAAACAGTTTCATTTCACCACTGCATACTTAGAGAATAGCAAGTTTCTCTATTGCACTGAATATTTTATTTCAGTAATTACCTTTTGTTTGGTTTCTGATTTCACATGCTACGTAGCACCTGAAATACCTATAGTAGAACTTCTTGAAAGTTCCCTTATAACTACGGCTGTGATATTGTATCTAGGACTGAATGACATGCTGAAACTTGGTTCTTGTACCTGCTGTGCATTAATCGCTTGTTTTCTTCCAGAAGGCTTATATAGAAAAAATGAGCTATAAAGACTGTATTTCCCACTCAAAAAACCTAAAAAACCTTTATAGACTAAAAGCCAGTATAAGGGTTAATGGAATATAACTGAAGAATTGACAATGCTAGATGTAAAGGAATATGAATTGAAGAGGGCAAGGCAGACTATAAAAAAAATCAATTCTACCATCCTCATCATAGCTTTCCCTCCCACTCTGGAGGATTGGAGAGTTCCTTATACAGCATGGAAGTTGTATTAGGGCTGCAAGTGGAAGGCGGAATTGGCAAACTACTTTGTGTCTGCTGGATCCTACAGGAGGGGCATACAGTGGTACCTCGGTTCACGAACTTAATTCGTTCCGTGACTCTGGTTGCAACCCGAATCAAATTTTCCCATAAGGTTCAATGTAATTACGGTTTAA